CAGTCGTGACAGACGGCAACTAGTACTTGTCATCTACTTTGACATTTCTAAGGCATTTGACCGTGTTGACCATTTACTGCTAACAAATAAACTGAACTCCTTAGGAATACGTGACCCATTATTAGGATGGCTTAAATCATTCCTTAACAATAGGTCCCAAATAGTTAAACTCGGGTCTGCAACCTCCAAACCTAGCCCTATCACTTCTGGTGTAGTACAAGGTAGTGTCATTGGACCCCTCCTATTTACACTATACATCAATGACATATGCGCTTGCTTCACGCACGGGAAACCATTCATCTTTGCAGATGACCTAAAAGTAGCTTATACATTCCAACGTGATGACTTAGGGAACTTCGAGAATGTAGTACAGAAGGAATTAGATAAAATGGCTGCTTGGTCGTCCCTATGGAATCTCCAATTTAATCTGAACAAATGTGGCTGGATCTGCTTCGGTGCACCCTCAATCGACCTGAAATTAACGCTCCAATCTGCTAACCTAACAAGACTCCGAAATGTCGTTGACCTAGGCCTGAGGTACTCTAGTGACTTGACATTCTCAGAGCAAGTAGCATCACAGACTAGAAAATCGAGGATGCTCTTAGGATGCATACTCAGGAACTTTCACGACAATGAAGCCAAGCTAATTCTGTACAAAACATGTGTCAGACCACTACTAGAATACTGTCCATTTATTATAAGCAGCACTCGCACACGTGACAAGCTAAGGATGGAAAGTATCCAACGATATTTTACCTCAAAACTGCTTGGCTACGATTGTAAGGAAGACTACATCTCACGGTGCATGATCCTAAAACTCGACCCACTTTGGACAAGGCGACTTATTATAAACCTAATATTCTTCTTTAAGGTCCTTCACAAAATATCATTCTCAGGTAACAGGGACATACAATTCGCACAGGAAGGTTCTTACGATCTGCGTAACCAAACTTCCACAGTGACAACTCATTCTTTTAAGTCAACACTCCGTGAAAACTTCTTCACAGTCATGTATTCTAAAATATGGAATAGCCTGCCTATAGATATCAGAACTTGCTCTTCGGTTACAAGCTTCAAACGCTCTCTATACAGACTGTTTCACTCTACTGATTATATTAATAAACTATTTACTCCTAGAACGAATCAAGCACTAATCTACTACAGCACCTAAAAGACGCACTTCAACACCCTTAGCAATCTTTAAACTATAAATAAACTAGCAGCATGGATGCATAAAGACATAGTACGGAACATACAGGATTAGTCTACCCTTAGAAATAGGACCTATCCCTCATTGTAACCTTCAAACGCTTGCTATATAAACTGTTTTATTCTAAAGACTATCCCTACCAGAACCCATTACTTATTTCTAAAACGCATCAGTCATTAGAACAATAAAAACGCTCAGACTATTAATACACATTATGACATTAAATAAACTCTAAGACTTCGCATAAATACGTGAAAACGCAGATACAATATAGAAAAATGTTTACTTAAGTATAATTAAGATAAACATTTATAAATGAATCATGTATTAATGTTCTTTTCATGTTCACATACTTTCTCTTTCTGGTATTTTGCTGCTCCTATTCATCTTCTGGTCGAGGTCGAACAACCCTGCATCTAAACTGAAATGAGGATTAATTCCAAACCGTCTATCTCATAACCACTCAAATTCCATGAACGATCCAATTCTACCATTTGAAGACGCTGGCGAACATGCTGTAAATGAGTATTCATGATCTGAAATGAAGAAGCAACTGGTTTTCAAACAGTTTTCAACGTTTTACTCAACTTACGAATACAGTCCGCCATGCAGACACAAATGGAGCAAATGGAGGATTCTGGAATCGACCTCGGCACCATTTGATGCAGTAAAACAACCCAACATGACCTTATTTAGTTTTCGTATCCACGATCAAATTTCTTTCCTGTTATGAAACTACGATAAGAGTGCTGAAAAAATGGAATAAATATATCACTGATCTCAACATAATACATCAATAATCTTTAAGCCATGGGTGCTGCTCACAACAAAGTTATATAAGAGAATTGACTTCAAGCTTTATTTTTCCCAGATATCTGTATTACATTCATCTGATGTCTGGGTTTTTTGTTAATGCGAAGACAATATTTCTATATCTCTTTATGTGCTACACAAACAGACTTTATAGCAGACTGTTCCTACTGACTCTAATGTCAGAAAGAACAACCAAACTGTAAATTCATTATACATTAAATTGTGTGTAATTTATATAATAACTTATCCATGCCTGTACAATTGGTATGTTCCTGCATAAACAGGAAGAAATATATATAACAGTTTTCGTAGTACATCCTCAACAGATAAGTTGCAAGCTGCAAGACAAACACGGTTGTGTTTTACACGTTTTCAAGAAGTGCATACAGAAGTGAACTGTGAACCAGTGAGCAAGTTCAGTGATAAGCTAAATGTAAATTCCAGGCATGACTCCGAATTGTGTGACGATAACGGTGCGGTCAGGAAGTCTGTAGTTACAACTGGTAAGCCATTGTTGAATAGAGTGTCACAGAATAGAGTTACTGCTTCAGAGTGCAGTTCTGACTCCACAAGTTTACAAAGTATAACTAGTCAGAGTGAAGATATTAAACCTTTTAGGATTTGCGAGGAGGAACCAAAATTGTCTACTTCTGTTATTAAAGAGTTTGAAAATGATGAACTTGACGGTAAAGTGAATATTCGTGATAATGATCATGATACTTCACAGTTGTCTTTGGTTGATCATTATGAGATGCGGGATATGCCTACTACTGCTAAGTTAAATAAAGGTTCTGTACAACTACAACGTGAAGTAGAATTGAACGCAGATGCAGTTCCAAAAGGTGTGCATACTTGTGAGACAGTCGGTGTAATTGATCAGCGTGTAGCCCACCTATCATCAGATGATAGTGCTAAACCCGAACTAGTAGTGAAAGACAGCAGTGGTGGTAATCTTGCAGTTGGACAACTATCTGAAAGCCGAAAAAGAACAGCTTCTGATCCACCGCTAAGTTCATCACCTTGTGTCACTCAGTCATCGTTGGTGTTTTCATCCACAATGAAACAGATGCCCATCAACTCTAGTATCTTCTGCAATGACTATGGTAATATCAGTTCGTTTGAAAGGACGAATATCAATGGTCAGTTTAGTGTGGATAAGCCAAGTGTAAAGGAGAGAGTTATTGTTAAATTGACTTGCACGAATAAAGGCATTTCTAGTTTCAAGTTACTATTTGAATGTTATTATCTTTGGTGTAAATTACTCTGTTTCTACACTTGGTTGATGAGATATGTCGTGTGTTTGTTGGTCATCTATATTCTACGATACAATGACATGGGCGTGTTGCCGTTCAGATTAGAGGATAAAGCTGATAGAAGGAAGTTAGCAAATGAACTCTGCGACGATTTTCCAACCTAGGGCGTCAACCTGAGAAGGGTTGTAGGCGTACTGGTGTAAGTCCTACAGTTCTTCAAGGGTAGTTTGCCGTGCCAGAATGCACAACATTTGATGTGTTGATTGTACATATGTTTGTGATAAATAATTGTGTGAGATCCAATTGATGTAATTGTTGAATAATCTTGTTTGTGTCCGGACATTCCACAAATTACAATCGTCAACCTGTGAAGGTTTGTAGGCGTACTGGTGTAAGTCCTGCAATTCTTCAAAGGAATTCCATCAAGAGATGATCGGCGAGGTTGTTTGTACTATTTGTATATACGTGTGGTGTGTCATATCAATTGGTGTATTTTGGATTCATTGTGTTTACTTGTTGTTTTCGTGTCTTTTTTTTACTGCGTAAATTTGTTAAAATTTTCGTCGTGATTATTTCTAGAGTTGTTTCGAGTCTTCTACATCCATGAATGAATTGATTGATGTTAAAGGCAGCAGATGGGTCGTATACGCCGGGGAGGCTAGGCTATTGCTGAGAATAAAATGCACACGGAGATAATTGTTAGCTGCGGTCCGACACGCCGGGGAGAAAGAGTGTGAACGACTGAGGCTCGCATGCGTCACCGTTACTAGAACTGAGGTAGAATGAGTGACAAGCGATTTCAGTGATAATTGATAGTGAATAGAAAAGAGGATGCTTGAAGAGTATCATGAGGTGCTGCTATGGTCACGTTGCATTCTGTAAGAGTCATTCTAGCAAGCGGCGATTGTGTTGCAAGAGGATGTGTCAAGAGGATGCCTTTAACTGGAAGGCGCAGGTCGTCATTGATGTGTGAGATTGTGCTGTGGGTTTGCTTGTGGTGTGTTGGCTTTTCTGTTTGTTTTCCATTTCAGCTCTGTCCGTGTGACCCAGGTTCTCGCAATGGCATCCAAGTCAACGTGCATTGATCGTGAATGAAAAAATGGTTGGATCCCTTTTTTGCCGAGGAGTGTCAATGTAGTTGAAGATTGAACGATCAATTCTTTGTTGTTTGCTCAAAATCAACTTCTCCAATTTTCGCGGAGGCATCAATACGACAGTCATCGTCTCATCGGTCGCTGTTCAGAAAGAAGAGTGAAACATCGTCAGAAGTAATCTTATGATTTATTATTGTAATATTTGTTTACAGACCTTAGTTCGTTTATTCCTTTTATATGTTGGTGTAACAATAAAGAAATAACAAGCAGCAGATCGGTGTTTTGGTTATTTCGTCCGTTATTACTAAGCGTTTCTGAAACTCAAAGGAACAGCGTGGGCCCGAGCGTAGCGAGAGCTGGGCATTAACGGTTTATGAGACGAGACTGACATAAGTTTACTAATTCAATAATCAACATGCAGGTATTCTTTGTTCCAATTAGTTGTGACGGATAATTTTGTTTATGGACGACCAGTTTTATTTGCTTGGACTGGAAAGGAATTCAAACATTGTGTAGTTTGGATATTGGACTCATTTCGTTAAATAATGGAGGATACTTCTAAAACAGAGACTTTCATTATGGACTGTGCGCAATCTGAAACAGCAGCAGTAAAGTTAACGCACAGAGAAGCGCACATTGTTTTGTGCTCTTTCCATGTTTGTCGAGCATTCTGTCGTAAAGTAAGTTTTTTAAAATACAACCAAAATTTCCATTGTAGACACGTAATTCCATTGTGAAGAACTACTTATGCCGCTTAGTGCAGTGTAAAAGGAGATCAGAGTAATGCCTTTAATATTCTCATTTTCCAGATTTAATTTCTATTTCGGAGTTATAAGCAGATTGGATGCTAGTGTCAGTCAATATATACAACGTCGTTGGATGCATCGACGAGAATTGTGGGCAGCATGTTTCAGGGACCATGTGCTGACTTTTGGTAACGATACAAATAATCAAGTAGAAAGTTCCCACAGGCAAATGAATCGTTACTTGCAAAGATCAGATAGTCTGCATAAAAGCATGCTAAAGGTTTATAAATGGTGTCAACAAAGTTATTCAAGAATACAGCAGGAGTCAGTGATTGCTCAGTCGAGGTGCTTCACGTATTCCTGTTCACAACGTCTAATACCAATCCTACGACTACTGACGCCATACGCCGCGAGGAAGGTAATCCGTGAATACGAAAAGCGACGATGGGCTTCTGTTGAGGTTGAAGCTTTCGATTATGTCTTCTCCCAAGACAATGGGAATAGAGTAGAGGTTGATCTGCGTGCTTGTACATGCACTTGTATGACGTTTCAGACTTCGCAGTACCCTTGCCGACACTTGCTGTTGGTCCATTTCAGAAAGCCATGTTTTACAGCTATATTTGCGTTTTTACGACTCTATTTTTGATGTATGTCAACCTAACCTTAGTTAACTGAAAATCTTATATACTGCAATCTGTAATTTTCATAACCGTATTCGTGTGTACAATGCCTTAACTGGAAACAGGACACAAGCACTACCATCATTAAACCTGTAATATTCTGTTCATAATTATCTTTACGTTTTTTGTTCCACCTTTTGTAGTTAACCATATGTTGCAGAATTGTAAACAATGGACGCGGTTACGCAACTTGTTCGCATCTCAAAGGACGTCAGCAGTTGTCCCTCGAAATCAATGTGACATATTGAAAACCAATAGGAGTATTATGAATGCGGGCCTGACAAGAATTAGTGACGCATTTGGAGAAGTGTTTGCCGCTAATTATTCAGCAGAAGTAATCGCAGGAATCAGTCGTATTCTTAATATGTAAATAAACTAAGTTTTAATCATAATTAAAATAAACTTTTCATGTAAATCTTGTTGTCTTTCAATTCGTGTGTTCGCTTTGTGAGGACGGCATAAATATATATATTTCTTCCTGTTTATGCAGGAACATACCAATTGTACAGGCATGGATAAGTTATTATATAAATTACACATAATTTGATGTATGATGAATTTACAGTTTGGTTGTTCGTTCTGACATCGAAGTCAGTCGGAACAGTCTGCTATAAAGTCTGTGTAGCACATAAAGAGATATAGAAATATTGTCTTCGCATTAAAAAAACCAGACATCAGATGAATGTAATACGGATATCTGGGAAAAAAAGCTTGAAGTCAATTCTCTTATATAACTTTGTTGTGAGCAACACCCTTGGTTTGAAGTTTATTGATGTATTATGTTGAGATCAGTGATATATTTATTCCACTTTTTCAGCAGTCTTATCTTAGTTTTATAACAGGAAAGAAATTTGATCGTGGATACGAAAACTAGATAAGGTCATGTTAAGTTGTTTTACTGCATCAAATGGTGTCGAGGTCGATTCCAGAATTCTCCATTTGCTCCATTTGTGTCTGCATGGCGGACTGTATTCGTAAGTTCAGAAAAATGTTGAAAACCAGTTGCTTCTTCATTTCAGATCATGAATACTCATTTACAGCATGTTCGCCAGCGTCTTCAAATGGTAGAATTGGATCGTTCATGGAATTTGAGTGGTTATGATATAGATGGTTTGGAATTAATCCTCATTTCAGTTTAGATGCAGGGTTGTTCGACCTCGACCAGAAGATGAATAAGAGCAGCAGAATACCAGAAAGAGAAAGTATGTGAACATTAAAAGGATATTAATGTATATGTATAAATGTTTATGTCAATTTTATAACATATAAGTAAAAAATTACTTTTAATTATAGTTGCCTTTTCACTTTATTTATGCGAAGTCTTAGAGTTTATTTAGTGTCATAATGTGTATTAATGAGTCTGAGCGTTTTAGTGTTCTAATGACTGATGCGTTTTAGAAGTAATTAATGGTTTCTGGTAGGGGTAGTCATTGGAATAAAACAGTTTATATAGCAAGCGTTTGAAGGTTACAATAAAGTGACACGTCCTATTTCTAAGGGTAAACTAATCCTGTATGTTCCGTACTGTCTTTATGCATCCATGCTGCTAGTTTATTTATAGTTTAAAGATTGCTAAGGGTGTTGAAGTGCGTCTTTTAGGTGCTGTAGTAGATTAGTGATTGATTCGTTCTAGGAGTAAATAGTTTATTAATATAATCAGTAGAGTGAAACAGTCTGTATAGAGAGCGTTTGAAGCTTGTAACCGAAGAGCAAGTTCTGATATCTATAGGCAGGCTATTCCATATTTTAGAATACATGACTGTGAAGAAGTTTTCACGGAGTGTTGACCTAAAAGAATGAGTTGTCACTGTGGAAGTTTGGTTACGCAGATCGTAAGAACCTTCCTGTGCGAATTGTATGTCCCTGTTACCTGAGAATGATATTTTGTGAAGGACCTTAAAGAAGAATATTAGGTTTATAATAAGTCGCCTTGTCCAAAGTGGGTCAAGTTTTAGGATCATGCACCGTGAGATGTAGTCTTTCTTACAATCATAGCCAAGGAGTTTTGAGGTAAAATATCGTTGGATACTTTCCATCCTTAGCTTGTCACGTGTGCGAGTGCTGCTTATAATAAATGGACAGTATTCTAGTAGTGGTCTGACACATGTTTTGTACAGAATTAGCTTGGCTTCATTGTCGTGAAAGTTCCTGAGTATGCATCCTAAGAGCATCCTCGATTTTCTAGTCTGTGATGCTACTTGCTCAGAGAATGTCAAGTCACTAGAGTACCTCAGGCCTAGGTCAACGACACTTCGGAGTCTTGTTAGGTTAGCAGATTGGAGCGTTAATTTCAGGTCAATTGAGGGTGCACCGAAGCAGATCCAGCCACATTTGTTCAGATTAAATTGGAGATTCCATAGGGACGACCAAGCAGTCATTTTATCTAATTCCTTCTGCACTACATTCTCGAAGTTCCCTAAGTCATCACGTTGGAATGTATAAGCTACTTTTAGGTCATCTGCAAAGATGAATGGTTTCCCGTGCGTGAAGCAAGCGCATATGTCATTGATGTATAGTGTAAATAGGAGGGGTCCAATGACACTACCTTGTACTACACCAGAAGTGATAGGGCTAGGTTTGGAGGTTGCAGACCCGAGTTTAACTATTTGGGACCTATTGTTAAGGAATGATTTAAGCCATCCTAATAATGGGTCACGTATTCCTAAGGAGTTCAGTTTATTTGTTAGCAGTAAATGGTCAACACGGTCAAATGCCTTAGAAATGTCAAAGTAGATGACAAGTACTAGTTGCCGTCTGTCACGACTGCTGGTTACAAAATTGAAGAAGTCTAGGTGACATGTTAAACATGATCTGGATTTCAGGAATCCATGTTGGTTCGGACTTATAATATTGCAGCTAAGCATATGTTTGATTAAGTTATCTTTGACTAGTCTCTCCATGATTCTAGATGCTATAGGTGTGATATTGATTGGCCGGTAGTTACTGACTTCAGTTTTCGAGCCAGATTTGTGTTTAGGCATAATGAATGTAGTCTTCCATATGTCAGGGTAAGTTTGGGTTTCTAGGGACATTGTGAATATTTTAAGCAGCAGTAGAGGAATGTCAGGGCCACCATATTTATAGAAGTAAGATGATATACCGTCGGTACCGAAACCTTTTGAACTTTTGAGGGTTCTTATAGTTTGGTTAATATTAGCGTAAGTGAATTGAACAGTGCTAATTTGGTTTGGTGTGAGTGGAGATGGTGTTTGTGCCATTTTAGTAATAGGGTGTATATCGAGTAGCTGGACTGAGGGCTTAATGTAGTTACCTGCAAACGTTTTGTTGAATAGTTCACATATGTCTGCAGAGTTAGTGCATAGCCTACCTTTGTCTATGAGGAGAGAAATGCTGTGATTTTTGCGATTCATTCGCTTCCTTAAGATTTCTGTGAGTGCATACACTCTAGCAGGACTGGCTACTGCGATGCGTTCTTCCTTTCTCATACGGAAATCTCGAGCTTGTGAGATGGAGCTAAGGGTGTTAAGTATTAGACCTAGAGTGCCAAAGTCGTGGTGTTTGAAGTAACTTGTTGAGAGTTTCTTCAGTTTCATACGATCCTTTGGTTTTATGAATGACTTTCTGTGTGGGGAAACCTTTAGTGTTTGGAGTGGAATGACAGCATCTAAGCATGTGTTAGTGTTATGGTAGAAGATGGTTAGGGCTCTCGAGAGGTCATCAGTAGTGAAGTATTCATCCCATTCGGAGGATCTTAGCATTGATTCTACCAAGGCCCAGTTTGCCTTACTATAGTTCCTATATATTACTTGTTGTGAAGTGGAGGTATGAGATGCATTGCTACTCAGCGGAATTGGCAGTGCACACATCACTGTTTTGTGGTCGCTCCCTGGAAACTCAGAACCTACTAGCGTTGAAAGGGGGCTTATATTGTGGCAGAAGATTAAGTCTAGTACGTTGTTACCTCTTGTGGGAGTAGTGACAGTTTGTTTCCAGCCAAGTATATCCAGTGTGCCTAAGAACTTATCAAATTTAGTTGGGCCTGTGGGTATATCCCAGTTGATTTCAGGTAAGTTAAAGTCCCCACATAGGATCTTATGGTCGTATTGTAAGTCGGATAATTGCTCCAGAGTATTAATAAGTTGGGTCTCGTAATTACTAAAGGTGCCAGGTGCTCTGTAGGTGCATCCAATTAATGCTGTTACGTTATTTAAGTGTACATTAACCCATAGAGTCTCAGGCATGTTAAGTGTACTACTTTCTAGCTGTGATACAGTAAGTGCATTCAGAAAGTACATGAGACAACCCCCTCCCTTACCACCTTCCCTGTCACACCGAAAGTGTGTGTAGTTATCTAAGCTTATTTCTTCATCCAAGATGTTCGAATGACACCAAGATTCAGTGATGACAATTACAGGGGGTTTGTATATTACTGTGAGTGCTCTGAGCATCGGCAATTTATTTAGAACAGATCTAGCATTTATGAGGATTAGGTAAAGATGAGAGTTGAAGTAGCATTTGAAGTATTTAAGTTCGTTAGTCAGCCCCGAATATGGTTCAGCACCCAGTAGTTCTGCTTGACATGATGATCCTATGTTAAGAGGAGTTCCAGCATCATGCTCACCTATGTCTATCGAGTTGGTGTGTGCTGTTTTCGGTGGAGAATTAGGAGTTGGAGTACTGGATTTGCTATAGACCAAGGAATTTTTATTTTTAGTTAGGTTACAGAAGTGGGTAGGGTTCTTTATTTGACCTATATTTGTGCAGGTGTCAAGTGTGCCTAATGGATACGGGTGCACTAGACCGTTCCTGTTTTCATGCAAGGAGGGAGCCAGCTCTAGTGGTTTAGGAGTGTTAACATCCCTACCAGCTGTTTTTTCAACGCTGACAGGGACGCGGGGGATAAAAAATGATTGGATCCTTTTGATGACCATGGCTTATTATTCCACCTATTGTTTGATGCTAGTTGTGTCCTTGTGTGGGTTTCATGTGTACTGCATTGTGGGTTAGTTCCCAGCAGACTTGTACCATATATCCGGTCAAAATTTGTTTGTGTGCCATACTCTGAAGACCCTAAGTTGTTGATAGCCGAGTTCTGACTATTACCACTTGTACTATTGAGGGTGACATTGTTGTGACATTGGATATCAGTGTGTGCCATGGTGCGATTTAGCACGTTGTGGGTGCTAGTACTATTGACCGTGGGAAGTGTGGGTTTATTTAAGCTGCCACTGTTTTTGTTGGTATGATTTAGGGGCATATTTTCCTTACCTTTAGCAATGAAGTTATGGCTAGGAGAGGACAAAGTCGAATTTCGGGGGTTTTGACTTTTTTTCTGGGGTTATTTAGTGGCATTTTAGATTCTGCGGTGATGGGTGGTATGGTTTTGTTATTTATTTGGTTACAGTCTAGTGGCCTTTC